GCGTCCTTGCTCCTAGTAGCGATGCCAGGAGACCCTAGTAGCGTCCTCGCTCCTAGTAGCAGGGCCAGGAGAGCCTAGTAGCGTCCTTGCTCCTAGTAGTAGGGCCAGGAGCCACTAGTAGCGTTCTTGAATTATTATGTAATGAGCATGTTAAATTCAGGTCCTTTGTGCCGTTGTCCGTCTACTTGATCATCCGGAACTGCACGGAAACGCTACGCAAGCATTACCTTTATCTCTTTGCTTACATGGGACGAATCACTCTGGAGACTTACATTTTTCAGTTCCACATTTGGATGCGGACAACTGGACTCAATGGCTCTCCAAAGAAGCTCCTGGTTCTCGTTGACTCCTATTGGCTGAACTTTGTGATACTGACGGCTATCTACCTCTTCATCTCACTGAGATTTTCACAGTTGACTGGAGTCTTGAGAGATGCTTTGATTCGAGACAATTTGCGTGCCATGGGCAAGGTCATGTGCGTTTTGGCCGCATTTGGTCTTCTTTGCTGGATCTTGTCTCTTTGGTGGACGAGAAGCCTTTGTTTGGAATGCGAAAACAAGCGACCCTATGTGCCATGGATTGAACAAACAGTTGCCCAGTTCACAAGATGCTGCCACCTTCTTGCTTCTCCTCTCAAAGCCAACTCCACTGCTGAGGCCAGGCACTTTCCCTCCAGACCAAGTCCTTCAGCTGAACAGCGCTGCACTGAAGGTACGATTGGTGTAGCTTTGTTGGGAGTTTCTTTGCTTTGCATCATTGAATCTCCGGTGGCCTTATAGCAGTTCTATAAAGACATCGTTCTTGTATGTAGTAGCAGGGGCTAGTTGTGTCGGAGACCTACCTGGTAGAACATATGCTTTGGTGTGTGCCTCTGTGCAAGGGTCGCTTTCTTGCTTTGTGAGTTCAGGCCTTTTGGTTCTGGTTGTAAGATCATTTGCACCCTGAACCAGCCTGATACCGTTGAGCTTGTCTTGGCCGTCGGCCAATCATGATCGCCACATGGAAGGTGAGCTTTTGATGAGCGATGACTTTGACAGGCAGAAAAGCAACAAGACACAGAAAAGCTCCTAGTAGCGATGCCAGGAGCCCCTAGTAGCTTCTTGTTCCTAGTAGTAAGGCCAGGAGCCCCTAGTAGCGTCCTTGCTCCTAGTAGCAACAAGACACAGATGATTGCAGTTCATTGTGATTGCTTTATGCCAGTCAAACGGATGATCTTCGACAAGGAGATATTGCTTGGACCTCGAGCTTGACGTCACCACACAGACGAATGAGACCATCTTGATTCAGGGGGACAGAGTTAGACAGAGTTTCATGTTTTGCCTTGTGCCGAGGCTGGGCTGGACACCTGGCAGGTTCGAACCGCATTTCTACAATGTTGACAGAAAAGCAAACCGAAGGAATGCACGAAGCAAAAGGTTAGATGCTGCTGGTGAGAAATCAGGACAAAAGGCAACAAGGAAAGGTGTAAGAAGGCAATTGAGGAGGTTGAAGGACATGTATGTGAAGTGAAGTGTGCTTGTGGAGCAACAAAGCAAGATGGATTGTTAGTTTCGGAAACAAGAGGGCATTGAAGCCTGTTTAAATTTGTATCACGGAGGCAAGAAGAGCTCTAGAAACGACATGCACTGGAAGGCATGAAACAGGTGACGGCATTCAGAGAAGGGACAAATAAAGATGTCAATGTTCCTTTTGAGACAAACACCCAGGACGAGGTCAGGAGGGTCACTTGTTGCAAGACAGAAAATAGAACGATTGACACATCACAAACGGTCCCAACAGGTAGAGCCTTGTTGAGATAACAGACGGTGAGAAGGAGACAAGATACAAAGAGCCAAACATTGAATGTTATTTTGTTTTGACATGTTTATAACATATTGGAACATGAGTTAGAAGATCATTGGATGTCGAAGGTTGTTGACTCGGGTGGCCTCGTGGTGGCCGAGGATGATGTTGTGCAGAGCTCGGTATTTTTTTCTTCTCGTCGTAGTCCGAGAAGGGAAGAATGCATTGATGCTTGGACAACACGAACCCCACAAGCCGGCGGATCGAAGGTGGATGCAATTCAAGTGGGCCGCTGCTCAGTTGAGGTGACATAAGTGCCTTTTGCACTTGTAGAGGATGTTCTATCTAACTTTCGACTTGTTGTTTGTTTGGGTCAGGCAAAGATGGAGAGGATGTTGACCTGGATGCTGGCGCCAGCAGTCCATGGCATTGCGGTGTCTTCTGCGTGTTTGTCAACACAATTGCAACAGGATGTGTGGTGCAGAGGTGACTGACCATTTGTGCTTGGGCCGAAGAGAGTTATACTGTAGTTATACCATGTTATTTAAAGGCTTACGCCTGACAGCCGGGCGCCGGCCAAGTAGGGTAAGAGAGGGGTGGGTCGAGGTGACGGTAGGCGCGGGCGAGGTGTGGTGTCGGGAAGGGACCCGCCAGGTTTCCGCGGAGTCTTCCATGGAGAAGACGGGGGCCGGGGCTTGGGGCACCCCGGCAGCACCCGTCCGAGGGACGGGGGCTGACTGCCCTGGTTGCTTGCAGCAACCAAAAGTCGGGAGAGCCGTCGGAGAGGGAGGAGGCACGTGGAGCGCGATGCATGCTGGGAGGTGGCATCTGTCAGCCGGCAACAAGAGCGTCGCTCATGCCAGCCAGCCGCTGCCCTGGCGAGGAGAGGCAGACGTGATTCGACTCCAAGGACATTGTCTGCAAGTTGATGCGCCAGCGAGGCCGGCGGGGGTGGAGAGGTCGGGGGTCGAGGCGTCGATGCCGCAAGGTGGAGACGTAGGCAAAGGACTGAGACAGCATGCTGCGGAGAGAAGTTACTGGCGAGACGTGGGCTCAACAACAGGTGAGCCTGTAAACAGAGCAAGAGCATGTGCAAGCCAGAAACAGCTTCCAACCCAAAGACACCAGAAGCAAGCAGCGCTGAAGTCCAAGAGTTATAGGACGGCAAAGAGCAAAGTGCAAGAGAAGCTAGGAGATAGCCAGGGTTTGAGAGCAACAGCAACCAAGCACACCTGATCGTTTTTTTGTCTATGTTTTGTTTGGTTTGTGTGAGCAGGGCAGGAGCACGTGCAAAGCAGAGCAACAAAGCTCTCAACCAGCTTCGAACTCTGAGAGGTAAAGGACGAAGCTAGGAAACCGCTAGCGTAGGACAGCAAAAGCAACCAAGCACACTGGAGCACTTTTTTTTTTTTCGCTGCGCTTGGTCTCAGCCATGGAGACCGAGAGTGCTCGCGACGCACCGAGCGCGTCGCTGACGGTGACGACGGCTGAAGCCATGGAGACCGGCGGCGCCGCGGTGCGCGCAGCCAACACATCGAGAGCGTCGCTCACGGTGGCGTTGGTGGATTCGACGGGCTACGGTTGGTTGCCCGGGCAAAAGTTGGGGGACGCTGCGATGGATTTTCGCAAGTGTGGCGGCGTGGAGACGGTGGCGAGCATCGTCAGTGGAGGCAGCATTACGAAGGCCGGCAAGAAGGACGGCGCGAACATTCTCGACCAGTTCATGCAATGGGTCTTGGACGGCGGGGAAGAGACCCATGGAGGGGACGTGGAGGTGGAAGTGGGCGTGGTGCCAGCCCGCGACTCCGTGCGAGGGGCACGGTATGAGGCCCTCGGGGTAGCGCGGCTGGCGTGCGGCGTCCCGGAGCTGAGCAAGAGCATCTTGGAGACAGTCCCTGGTGCCTATGGAGAGGCCAAAAAGGCCTTGCACTTTCTGCCGGCCTGTGCGTCGGAGAGCATGGAGCGGGTAGTAGAGGCGGCGCGAGCCGAGCTGGAAGCGCGTCGAGCAGAGCGTCGCTCAGCCGGCGCGGAGGGAGCCCCCGCGTCAGAGCGTCGCTCAACCGGGGGCTGGGTGGCCGTGGTGATTTGTGCCGGGTGGAACTGCAATGAGGTGGAGAATTTGCAGGAGGCATTTGTCGTGAAGCAGCTCTGCGAGACGCGCACGTGGAGCGAGTTCCTTTGGGCCTGCTCGGCGCACTCCAGCAAGAAGCGGGCATGGGCCAAGACGGCGCAGGCCTTGGACTTGGCGCCGCCGAAGTTGTTCCAGACGAACCGTGAGGACCACGCGCAAGCGGCAGCCAATAAGGCACAGTTCACCCAAGGGCTGGAGAGACATTTTGTCGGAGACGCAGAGTGCGTCGAAGACATCAAGAGCCTGGGCGGGTCGGCGCTCCTCGCCCGCTATGAGAGCTTCCAGCAACCGGCTCATAGGGCGGACCTGTGGCGGTATATTCGCTTGTGGAAAGAGGGTGGAAGTTACCTGGACATCAAAATGGCGCTGCTGCAGCCGTGGAGCACAACTCTGGAAGAGATTTATGCGGAGGGAGAGAGATGCTTGGAGGGACAGCGCGTCGCGCAGTCCTCGGGCCAGCGCGTCGCGCCGCCCACGGAGGTGCAAGCTTTGTCGCAAGTCCCGCACCTCCTCCTCAGCATCGGACAAAACCGCAAACATATCTTCCAGGGGAACATTTGGCACGCGTCCGCAAAGCACCCGCTCTTAGCCAGAGCGGTGGGGCATGCGCTGGGCACGTCGCAGAGTCACCTGCTTAAGCGATACCTGTTGTTCTGTGAGTTTTTGTGGGCGGAGCTGCGGCGTGACCTCGGCCAGGACCCCGTGCCAGGGTGGAACTTCTGCCCCACCCTTGGCCCCATCTACCTTTTCCAGGAGACGCTGGAGGGGCAGAGGAAAAACAGTCAAACAAAGAACATGTATTGGACATGTCTTCCAAAGCATTTCTATGTATATATGTCTTCGATATAAATATATAGGACCTATGGCGAGGCGACCGTAGTATCATTCGCAGGCATTAAGTAAAGTTTCTCTTTATATGTGTTCAGCTGCTTTGTTATGTCTTTCTTTAGATGCGTCGCAATTTTATGTACCTTTTCCAGGAGAAGCTGGAGGGGCAGGGGAAAGCCGAGCGCGATCGACGTGGGCGCACATGCTTGGGGGAGGAATTTCCAGTGGACGGTCACTTCATGTTCACCACTGGTGGCACGAGGTATGCCGCCACCCGGGCGTGGGGCTGGAAGAAAGGTTTTTTACCGGTCGCTTTGGGAGCCATCGCGACACAGCGGGAAGAAGCGCAGAGCGTAGCTCAGCTGGAGCCACAGCCCGGCACTCCTGCTCCCGAAGCGCCGAGTGCGCCGCTCCTGGAAGCGCCGAGCAGCAGCGCCGCGCCGAGCGCTGAAGCGCAGCAGCGCGTCGCGCAGTTGCAGGAGACCCCAAGCGCGGCGACAGAACCGGCGGCAAAGCAGGGGGAGGTGCCGCCACTGGAGAGTACCATCACTCCGGAAGGCTTGGAGCGGATAATGGCAGTGGCGACGGGGCACAGTGCGTATGAGGGCCTGACGCGGGCAGAGGTGGAGATCTTCACGGTGCAAGGCCTGAGAGAAGCGACCCGACGGGAGGGCTATCTCTCGTGCTTGTTCTGCAAAAGTAGAAAGAAGCAACAGCTGCTTTTCCAAGGCGCCAACGAAGTCCGAAACCACTTCGAGGGCAACCACGGGAGGCCACAGGCAACAGAAGCGCCCTCGCCTGCGGTCGCCGAGGAGATCGGTCAGGCTATGGCCGTTGTGGAGCAGACGATGGAGAAGGCGGGAGTGAGGGAACTAGGACAGCAAGCCGAAAGGGGCGAAAAGGATAAAACTTGGAAGTTTTTTTTTTGTAAGTAAAAGGGGTATATTTTTGACAGGTGTGTGTGGACGGGGGGGCGGGGCGCGCCCACCATCGCGACAGTGAGGTGGGCGTCTGGGCAGAGGAGGATGTGCGAGCTCGCGTGATTGCAGCGGCAGCGGTGCTCCCAGCGGAACCCCCCGAGCCAACGCTGTTGGACGCAGCTTTGCGTGCCACCGGCGACGTCGCTGACTTCTTCCGCCGGCTGACAAGCATCTTGGGCCCGTCCATCGCGGGCAACCGGCCTATGTTGGCGACGGCGCTGAAGGACGCCTATGCGCTGCCCAGCGTGCTGCAGAACGTCGTTCGGCAGCGTTCGGCGCAGGGCGCCACGTGGAACGACCTCACCCGGTCGGAGAACGTGGAGTGGGCCGTGCACGATGGATCGGAGGGAGACCCTCCGTACGCGCTGGCAATGTGCAAAGGAGAGTCCTATGAGTACGTGGACAGGGCGAGCTTGTACAGCACCATTTTGGTGCGCTTGGTGGTGGACGCGGTCGAAGAGACCGCCAACAGCTTGGATGCCGCAGGGCGGCAGGCCGTGCTCGAGTGCATCTGCGTGCATTTCAATGAGGCCGCCAGGCAGCAGGGTCAGCCGTCGAGGCTTCTGCTCGCACTGGGTGGCGCTCGAGCCCTGAAGTTCGACTTGGATCCCGCCAACATCGAGCGCCAGTACGGAGGAGCGAAGAAAAGAGTGACCAAGCGGCAGGCTGAATCCGGCGTGGCAGTCGGTCGCTCCAACTGAGTGTTGCAGAGGTTGGAGTGAAGGGCCTAGCCGCAGAACGTCGTTCAGTGGCCAGCGGTCGCTCCAAGCGAGCGTGACCGAGAGGAGCCGCAGAGCGTCGCTCAATGGCTTCGTCGTGCCGTTGGAGACGCCCTCAAGCCGCAGAGCGTCGCTCAGCTGCGCTCAGCGGCTGGCAGAGTAGCGGGGCCGAGCCCCTCGGGACGCTGCGGCGCTCGTGGCACCCAGAGAGAGAAAAAAGGAGAGACAGACTGTGTTTGTAAGCAAGCAAGTTAGAGCGGGGCTAGTCGAACCGGGACCCAAAAGGAGCCTAGGCAGAGCGCACGGGATCGAGGACAGCTGCTTGTGTCCGCGACGCGTCCGCCGTTCGTCGCGCGAGCGCGAGCAGGTGTCTGCCGCGACCGAGAACTACGCAGCAGACCGACGGCCGGAGGACTTTTTTTTTCCTGCCGGGCAGGGGGGCGTTGGAGCAAGCGGGTGTGCGCAGGTGGAAAGAGAGCCAGGGCTGAAGGAAACGGGTCTGTGCAGGTATGCCCAGCGTGAAAACGGGGACGGGCCCGGACCCCACGCGGCCGACTGCGTCGTCGCCCGAGGAGTTGGTGGGCTGCGCTCTCCGACGGTGCGAGGCGCAGAGACCGCGCGCGCGAGCCGAGAAGGGAAGGCTGCAGGGGTATAGAGTGTTGCTTTTTTTTTTCCGTGTCTCTCGGCGGGCGCGGAGCGACCGCAAGCACGGAGCGCGGGGAGAAGCGAGCGTCGCGGGGGCAGAGTGTCTTGCTGGTAGGTTTTTGTTGTGTGTTGGGCAGGGTTCGCGGCAGGGGTGACAGCGGAGGTCGGTACGTCTGAGCAGAGCGTCGCTCAACCACACCCAGGACAGCCAGACGGGTGTGTTGAGTGTAAAGGCGGCGCGACCTCCACGGGGCGCAACACACGGCGGCAGCGCGTCGCGCAGCCGGCAATGTTTTTGAGATAGGCCCTAACCCACCCGGTGACGCGTCGTGCAGAAGTCAACGAACGAGTAATGTCTTAAGAGCGTCCGTGGTTTGCAGGGATGGAAAACAAGCTAGCATGTTCTCCGGTCGGGATCCTGGGTTGCGTACCTTGGGTCACGTCGAGGCTACCGCTGCTAGGGCCTCGCGACGTTGTTTGTGGAATCATGTCAGCATGTTTACTAAGTGTAAGTGGTGGATTGGTGGCCGGAGGAACTGGATACGGTAGACGCGTGGACCGAGCATGTGCTCTGTCGCGTTGTATTTGTAGCTATGAAGCATGTGTAGGTTACATTGTTGTAGCCATTTGACCTGTCCATACAAGCAAGGTTTCCAGAGGTTTGTAGCCATGTCAGCTGGCGCCATCCAGATCGACGACTATGCCTTGACAGGGGAGGCCAACGAGCTCAAGTTGGTCTTGTACTTCAGTGATGGAACCAGCCAAACGTAACTTGACCAGATGTTGTGTCTATTGTTCAACTCCAACATTATTTATCGACTTTGTTTTGGATGCTTTAATCAACGAAGGTATCCAAGGCCATTACCAAATCCAGATGGTAGAAGGGGGTCCAAGTGGGCTGTGGTACACAGTGTGTGTCGCACATCTATGAGCCTGTACAGGGTGTACCAGGCACCAGGCCAGGAGCCAGAAGTCATTGAGTCAACCCAACTTGCAAAGTGTATCCACGACCTTGGATACCAGGAGGCCATACCATTGGTCCACAAGTGGTTCAGCTAAATCTAGCCAGTTTTGGAAAAGAGAAAAGTGTTTGCCGCATTCAGTCGTTCTTGTTGCCATCATGGCCTTTCACCATTAGACGACATTTCATCAGTACTGTTGGAGACGCCCTCGAGCCGCAGAGCGTCGCTCAGCTGCTGTGTGCGGCTCTGGCAGAGTAGCTGCGCCTATCCCCTCGGGATGCTGCGGCGCTCGTGGCATCCAGAGAGAAGAAAATGAGAGACACAGTGTGTTCGTATAAGGAAGCAAGTTCGAGCGGAGTTAGTCGCACTGGGACCCGAAAGGACTCGAGTCAGAGCACACGGGATCGATGACAGCGGCTCGTATCCGCGATGCGTCCGCCGCGCGAGCGCGGGCAGGTGGCTGCCGTGACCGAGAACCACGCAGCAGACCGACGGCCGGAGGACCTGTTTTTTTTTTCCCGGCAGGTGGGTGTTCGAGCAAGAGAGCGTGCGCAGGTGGAACGAGCGTAAGGGATGAAGGAAACGGGCATGTGCAGGTCGTCCAAGTGTGAACATGGGGACGTGCCCGGACTCCACGCGGCCGACGGCGTCGTCGCCCGAGGAGTTGGTGGGCTGCGCTCTCCGACGGTGCGAGGCGCAGAGAACGCGCGCGCGAGCCGAGAGGGCAAGGCTGCAGGGGTAGAGCGTTGCCTTTTTTTTTTTCTCTTTCGGTGGGTGCGCAGCAACCGGAACCGCGGAGCGCGGGGAGAAGCGAGCGCCGCGGGGGCAGAGTGTCTCGCTTGTACGTTTTCGTTCTGTGTTGGGCACGGTTCGTGGCAGGCGTTAGGGCGGCGATCGATACGTGTGAGCGGAGTGTCGCTCAACCACCCCCAGGAAAGCAAGACGGTCGGGGCCAGTGTAAAAGCTGCACGAGCTGCGCGGAGCGCAAGACACGGCGGCAGCGCGTCGCGCAACCGCACCCGCAAAGCAGGAGAAGTTTTTGACATAGGACCCGACCCAGCCGGTGATGTTTAATGCAGAAGTCAACGAACTGGTAATTTCTTCAGAGCAGCCTTGTTTTGGTAGGATGGGCAACAAGCGAGCACACAGCCAAACATGTGTCTCACGTCGCTGCGCGAGCTCCGCGGAGCACAACACACGGCGGCAGCGCGTCGCGCAACCGCGCCCGCAGAGCAGGAGATGTTTTTGAGTCGGGACCTGACCCATGCGGTGATTTTTAGTGCATAAGTCAACGAACGGATAATTTCAGAAGGGCATTCGTGAAAGTTTTGCAGGGATGAAAAACAAGCTAGCATGCATTCAAACATGTTTCTCACGTTTCGTCACGTGTGGTTTCAGGGGAGTGGCGGGTGGGCGTCCGCTTTTCTTCGGGTGGCAAAAGTGATCAGCCAACCAGCCATGCAGCGCCCACACTTGGTGCAATTCCAAGCTGACCTCTACCGATACAGAATGGCAATTCAACTGAGATGTGATGCCCTAGCAGCTCTGAGGGCTATGGAGACCATGATGCAACACTTCGAAGACATGGGGTTTACCAATACCGCCAACATGGAAGTCCTGAATCGAACCCGAGACGACCTGGCGGACTTCGCGACCTTTGCAGACTATTTGTTGGGCCAAGCGACCGAAACCCTGAATAACTGGGTTCAGTGGAGTGGGTAGCCAACGCGCTACTTTGTACCATAGAAGCATCATATACGCATAGAACACAAAACCCAAAGGAGGAAGCAAAGGCGTGTCGTCGGCAAAGTTGCCAAATGGCTTCAACTCGGAGGGTGTCAGAGAGCCGTGTCTGACCTGTAGAGGGCGCCTGTCAGGATGTAGACGCAGCGACGGGCGAGCGGCGCGTCGCGCAACCACACCTACAGGGGGGGGGGTTTTCCAGAATTGTTATTGGGTCCCGGTGTCCGTAGTCGTGTTTTTACGAGGTGACGAAGTAGGAGTAGTGCCACCTTCCCACGCTCCCGCTATGGCCGAAGCCTTCGGAGGAAGCCCGAAGAAGCGACGTCGTAGTGGAAGCGACGGCCCAGCCGGCAGCTCGCGTGAGCAGGTCACTGTGTCCAAGCTAGAAGAGATCCATCGCCTGCGGGCTCGCACAGAAGTCAACTTCAGCGGGCACGTGCTCGCAGCGGACGAGACGGTGCAGAAGCGTGACACCTTTGTTCGGGGCGCTTGCACGCAACGGGAGGTGGCAGGATTCATCGCAGCTGATGCCTCGTGCTTGGTTCAAGTGGCACTATGGGGCGACGTGGCAAAGAAGTACTTCGAGTCATTGACAAAGGCGCTCGACGAGGCGGCAGACGGAGTTTTCCCTCGGATCGAAGTCACTGCCTGCCAGGTTACCACTGTGAAGCATCCAGAAGGGACATCGTTGCGACGGCTGGCGTCAACGGCGAGGACCACGGTGAAGTTGCTTGAATCGACCCCACTGACCATTTCTCCGTCTCCACGTGTCCTCACGACCAGCGCGGCAGACTTGATGCATGTGCCTCAGGTCTCATGCTTCATGGGGGTCGTGAGCCGCCTAGAGGCGCGCGTCTTCTCGCAAGAGGACGTGGGAATGAGAGAAATTGGGATCAGCGTGCAGAATGGATATGAGGTGCCAGTGATGCTGTATGGGGTGCAAAGTGAAGAGGAAGTCGAACTCCGGGACCGCGTGGCGGTGTGGTTTGGCGAGGGGAAGCCCCCGTTGGCGAACAGAGACGACAGCAAGGGCATGATCTGGTTGTACGGATCCGGGTACTTGCTGGCTTTGGGGAAAACCGAGGAGAGCGACCAAGGCAGACCCCTGGACATTGGCAGAGCGTCCCTAGAGGAAGACGCGCGCGAGGAGTAAAGGGACCGGCGCGGCCGTTCCGCGCCGCAGAGCGTCGCTCGGCGGCCGCTCCGGAGCGCGCACGCGCGCGACGGCGAGCAGAGCGTCGCTCCCTCACACGTCTGGGACGCGGCACCCCGCCGCGACAGAGCGCGGCGCGCCGCGGAGTTGCTCTTTGCTCGGTCGGATTTTGTATGATTTGAGTCCACCCTCTGGACGCTGAGCGAGAAACAATGAAAAGCAATCGCAGGTGTCCGACACATAACCGCACCAACTGACAAGGTCGAATCCCATTGACCCTTATATATATATATATATATCTGGACATCTATATATATGTATATATATATATATGTATAGACATCAGACTCGTGTCCGCAGAAGTTCCTCTAATTGCAACACGTGGGCTCGATAACAGATGTGCCTGTGAACAGAGCACGACCACGTGGAAGCCAGAGGGAAGAATCCTGCTACGTAAAAACAGCAGACGCAGGCAGGGACAGACTCTTCGAGTGATAGGGTGGCCAAGGGAAATACCCAAGAGAAGCTAGGAGACCGTGAGCACTAGAGAGCACTGCCACCGAGGTTGTGTTTTTTTTTGGTGTTTTTTTGTTTTTTGGGGGTTCTCTTTTTTTGTAGCCATGGAAAGCGAGGGCGCAGCGGCGCGCACAGCGAGCGCAGGCGCGTCGCTTGCGGTGACGTCGGCCGCAGCCTTGGCGGCCAGCGGCGCCGTGGGGCACGCGGCCGACGCACCGAGTGTCGCGCCGAAGGCGGCGCCCTCCGAGCCAACGTTGTTGGACGCAACCTCGCGCACCTCCGGTGAGATCGCCGACTTCTTCCGCCGGCTGACGGCCGTCCTGGCACCGTCCATCGCTGGAAACCGGCGTATGTTGGCGACGGCGCTGAAGAACGCGCAGGCTCTGCCCTGCGTGCTGCAGAACGTCGTTCGGCAGCGTTCAGCGTGGGGAGCCACGTGGAACGATCTGACACGGCCGGAGAACGTGGAGTGGGCCGCGCACGATGGAACAAAGCGAGCGCCTGCGTACGCGCTGGCGATGTGCAAGGGTCATTCCTGGGAGTACGTGGGCAAGGCGAGTGTGTACAGCACCATTTTGGTGCGCTTGGTTATGGACGCTGTCGAGGAGACGGCAGACGCCTTAGACGACGTCAGTCGGCGAACTCTGCTGGAGAACATCTGCGTGCATTTCAATCAGGCCGCCAAGCAGCAGGGTCAACCGTCGCGACTTTTGCTTGCGCTGGGCGGCGCCCGATCTTTGAAGTTCGATTTGGATCCGGCCGACATCGACCGCCAATACGGGGGAGCAAAGAAAAGAGTGACCAAGCGGCAGGCAGAATCTGGTGCGCCCCTGGAACGCTCCAAGCGGGCGCTGCAAAGGTTCGAGTGACGACTCAAGCCGCAGAACGTCGTTCAGCGCCCAGTGGGCGCGCGAGGAGAATGTCACGGAGGGGCGCCCCAGGGCCTCCCGCAACAGCTCCCTCGGCTTGGCCGACAGGCTCCCGGCAGCGCCCCGGGGGCGGCGAACACGCCACGGAGGGCGGAGAGCTCGCTGCGGGGCATAGCCGCACTGAGATGGGCTGGTGCTTTTCTAATGCGTTAAGATAATTAAGATGTTAGCTTAAGGTAGCTAACTAGTTATAACTGTGCTAAAGTTAAAAAAAATTAGCCATTTTGCAATCAAAAAACTCTAACAACAAGAATGCAAAATGGGATGGAACAATATTGAATGTATGCTATTTGCAAAAACAAATTGCTTTCAAACAAATTTCCAGGCCAGCATCTGCCAAAAAAATTTGGAGCTTCAAAACAGCTGAACAAATTGTACAAACATCTCCTTCTTTCAAATGATTGGAAATCTTTTTTTCCTGGCTTTGGGCCCACATGTAAGATGGAGTGAGACAAGTGGCTTTGCCATCAGAAGACATGGTGTAAACCAAAGGGCTTTGCAAAGAGTCTATCTGCACCCACGACAATTTCTGTTCTTTTGGCACATGCCATTTTGTACACCTTGAGCTTGCAGACTGCTCTGAAAACAAATATTCTTCAATCAAAGCCAACTTGACACCAGAAAGCTGCATTAATGAATGCACTTTGCCACATTTGGAACCAAACGATCCTTCCTGGTCCATGTCATTGGGATCATGGAAAAATACAACATCCTTGACAGTAACAACTGCTTGCGATGTCAATCTGCAGGATTGGCTGCACCACACTTCTTCTCCATCTAAGATCAACATGTGCTGCTGCAAGAAAGCAAGCAATTTCTTGGTAGGCCTTCGGGGTTCCACCAAGAAGCTGCCTGCCTTGAAAACTTCATAATCTGATTCCAACACAAACATGTGCTCTGCAATGACTTCAGTCATCATTGACTTTTCATACTGAGCAGTATTGCAGATGTTGTTGCCAAACTTTCGCACACTCTTGTGCTTTCGTTCCAAGCTCCAACAAGCAGGGAGTTGTGAGAATTGCTTGAGAGCATCACTGTAGTGAAGGGCCCAGTGGTATTTGGGCTTCATGTGTTCACCCCAACCTGCTGAAACAAAACTTTGTAGTGCATGCTCCACCAAAAGCTGTAAGCGCATGTGATTTGGCTGATCCAAAGAGGGAATGCTGATACAGTAGTCTAAGACCTTGCACCAATTGATATAGCATTGGCACTGCAAAGTGCAAAAATCATGCTTCAACACACAAGTGTGGATGTAGACTTCAAGCAGCCTATATAATCCAAGCATTTCAGATGCTGTGCACTTTATTTTCTCTGCCTTGCGATGGCTTTCCACCATCTTTGATTCAAAGAGCTTGTGCGCCTTGCAGTGACTTTGAAAAGCAGGGTGCACCCACAACTGAAGAAAACCATGTAGAGTCTCCCAGATGTTTTGCAAACCTTCTTCAAACAAAGCTTGTAGCAACAAATACACAATCCAATTCATGACACCATTTGAGCATAGCCCATGCATAAAATCGTGGCAATAGCCACTGATAGGTTTGATGATTTCTTGTGTCCTTAATATGTCACTCATCAACAATGCACTATCATCAAAGTCAATGCCCGCTGCTGACTGCCACTGCTTCCACTGCTGCTGATTCAAAGAGGGGCGCCTTTCTCTCATGCGCATCCATGAGTCTAAGATTTCTTGATCAGTTGCGATGTCAAGGTCTCGATGCTTCAAGTATTGCACCAATTTAGAATCAGACACATCACCTTCTGCATTCTGCCTGCGAGAAATAAAAATGTTTTTGCAATGCATACAAATGCGGCTTCCTTGGTCTTGCTTGTTGCTGAAAGTGAATTTCTGAGCGCTCCCATCCTGGAGTACCATTCCTTGAGTCCAAAAAAGTTTCAATCTTCTGTCACCTGGCCCTTTCAAGAGGACTCCAGTGTGTGGATGGCAATATTCATTGCTGTATTGGTGTTCTAAAACATGTCTGAACACCTGGCCTATCCCTGAAGCAAGCTGATTGACTTCTGTGGATCTGGCCACTACCAAAGTCATCCAAGCTTCAGCTTTGGATAAGTAGTTGCCCAGTTCCAGCCAGGAAAAATACATGCACCAACACTTTTTGCTGGAACCTGCTAATTGATTGCCTGGGTGAACTTCATCTGCGTAGCAAATGGAGCGCCATGGACGCTCCAGAGAGCTAGGAACTTGCATGTGAATATGGTCAAGCAAGTCTGCAAATGCTCCTCCACATTGGTAAGCTGCAGCAATGTAGGAAAAATGTTGGCAAACAAAAGTTCCCTTGGTTCATTGACCACAGACATGGCTGTGACTGTCACCAGCAGCGGTCCATACAAGTTCATGCTTGCAATCAGAGTCTGGATAGCTTGCCTGATGTTCTTTCTTTTGTGTTGTGGTGGCACACCTTCTTTCTCCACCAAGTCCAAGATGCCTGCTAATGCACTCTGGCTGCAAAATGGTACTTTCCCTCTAAAGCCTAGGAGGTTCCTTGCACCATCCACATGTTTGCCCTGTTTGCCCATGGCAATGGAGAGGCTACAGAATAGCTAAGTATGTGAAACATCTGCTATCCTGAAAGTTCTTTGCATTATGTTCTATTAAACCCTTTGGTTGGTTTGACTTAAGCTCCAACTACCAACAATGAATTTCAGTTGACATGAGTGCACTTGAAGCAATCCATATACAGTGAAGTCCAATAGTTCTTATACCTGGAATGCAAAGAGCAGCACAAGCACCAAAAACTCATGCCAGTAAAAAAATGGCAAAAAATGTGAAGCCATGTGGCTGAAAACATGTTCCAACAAATTTGTAGCCAAATAGGCTGTACAAGAAGTTCATGTTCTAATGCAAAACCAGCAACAAATGGAAGATCTGCAAGGCAAACCCATGCACTTTTCCATTGAGCTCTCAAGGTTTGTCCCTGACTGCTTTGCAGGTACCCCAAGAAGATGAACTTCCTTTAAAGTTCTTTCTTCTATTTCCCCTTTGCTTTCTGCTGCTGCTGCCATTTGATCCATGCTTCTCGCCCAGGCAATCTCAAACCTGCAAATGAAGGCTTCAAACATGCAGAGCAGCCATTGGAGTTGCCACGACATCGAATGCATCCATACTTGAGGTTGCCATTCTTGTGCTTGCCAACCTTGGTAGGTTTCTCAACACTGGTTGGACAAGGTCTTTGGAAAGGCTTGCTGGCTGCAGGCCTCTTAAGGCAGGCTGCTGGCCTTTTCATAGGCTTTTGCCCACTGCCGGTTTTCTTTCCACTTAAAAGGTCAAATGCTTTCTGCTCAAACTCCTCCAAGGATGTAGGCTGCTTATCAGCATCCTCTGGCTCTGCCAAAGGACTGGAAGGCAACTCTTCCTTGGAGGCTGACTTGCTGTGACATGCGCTTTCAAAGCTGCCTTTGGTTTGAAGAGGCAAAGTTGTTGAAGACTGCTGCTGCTTTTGCTGAAGAGCTTGTTCATTCCCTTGACTTTGACTTTGGAAGCAATCCAAAGACCTTGCCCTGGTGAGCATCAAATCAAACATTTTCCACATAGACTCAGGACTGTTCTGTGGAGTAGCTGGGGCCCTGTCCTGGTGTTTCTGAGCAGGAACATGCTCAGGTTGGAGTAGCGCATGAGTGTTTCTCACAGGCAAAGGCTTCAGCAATGCACCCACACTGGTTCCCACATCAGGAGGTACATGAGCTGGTGGATCACCATCTTCATAGCAAGACTTCAAGAAATCCTCAAGCTGCCAAACAACAAATGAACACATGATGTGAAAAGATACAAAATAAAGCAGCACATAAAAAACACTTTTATGCAAGTTTCTTCTCCAAGCTCATTTGGAAATGGTGTGTATTTTGAATAACCAGCAACTGCAGGAGCCTGAGATGAAGACACAAAGCATTGCCTCACATAGTTTGCAAGCTTCTTTTGTTCTCCAGCAGGTGGTAAAGGATGCCCTTGTGCTTGCTGGAGGTACAGCAAGAATGCACAAGCTGCCTTTTTGGAGTCTTCCTTTAGACTAATCAGGCCACATTTCCTCATGCGACCCACCAAAGTGGCAGAAGCTTCCATGAGACCTTGAGACTGAATCTTCTCCCACTCCTTGGAACTCAAATAATTGTAGACTTGTCTCATTGACTGTGGAGTTGCTGTCACCCTGACTGCACCGACTTGGGACTCTGATGTTTTCTCTTCACATACTTCAATGATGTTGTCTTTTATATTCTGTGGGAGCTCCAAGGCTTCCAAAGCATCCATTATCTGCAAGAAAGCTGATGGGCCAATGTCAGGGATTGCCCTCAGCTTGGCAAGAACCGACTTGAGCATCTTTTCAACCAAAGAGCTATTGGCTCTTTTCTGGAATATCTTGTCCAAATCTTTCATTTCCCTCAGCAAGTCTTCTATGCTCCACTGAGCCATCTGAGCAATAGATCAGAATAGATCTAAATGAGTGAAAGCTTTTGCCAAAATGGCTTGCAGTTGAAATAATACTTGCAACATGTTGCAAACACACTTTGAAATAGAGTTTTGGTCATCCATACATTCCAAATACAAATCTGAAGCCATTATGGCTAAAGTTGGCAAATCAATACAAAGTCAAAATCTGCAGCAAACAAATGCTTAGCCAAAATCATATTTAAAATGTGAAGCAAAAATGCGAAATATTTTCAGCAAAGTGATGCAACACATGAGCTCAGTCTTTTCACTCATCAGTCTGACAGCTATAACACACATGTCTTCCAAACTTGATGCTCACAGCTTTGCTCTGGGCGCAAAGAATCTATCACCACTGTCCACCACCCTGCCAAGAGCAGAATTGGCCATGTCGAGCCCTTCACAAATGATAAAGCTCTGGAACAAGCGCTTCAAGATGTCATCATTCATCACCAGCCTGAGTTGTGCATATGGAAAGCAAATGGGTTTGCAAATAACATCT